CCAACTACCTCCACAAGTACAGCGCAGGGTACGCGGGTCTCGCAAAACCCTTGTCGGATCTCCTGAAGAAGGATGCCGACTGGCGCTGGGAGCAAAAGCACCAGGACGCCTTTGACAGCGTCAAGGCGAGCGGCCTCAGTATGGTAGTATTGAGTTCAACGAAGGTCGATTTGCAAAGGATCGAGGCCTACTCCGATGCAGACTACTCCAATGACAAGATTGACCGTCAGGCGGTCAGCGGATACGTCACTCTGCTGAACGGCAGTTTCATTTCGTACGGCCAAAGGAAGCAGGGGTTAAATGCTCAAAGTACCATGGAAGCTGAATATATTGCGATATGAATGAAGGCGCGAGGGACATTGTGAGGCTGCGGAGTCTCTGTGATGAACTCAAGTGGAATTTCGACCTGCCAACACTTTGGTGTGACAACACTGCAGCTATTGCTCTGTTGAAGAAGCCTGGGAAGCACAATGGCAGTAAACACATCGAGAACCGGTTCCACTACGTTCGAAACCTCGAAGATAGAGAGATGGTGGCAGTGCAGCATTGCGAAACTAACGACATGACAGCGGGCATCTTTGCCAAGCCACTGGCCAGAGTCATGTTCGAGTATTTCCGAAATTGAATTGGTGTGGTTCGTCGTGCTGAGCTAGGGGGAGCGAAGGGCGCGCCTATCCAGGACGATGGTGTTTATACTGCGTAGATGATGGTGAAGTTCCAGTCAAACTCAAGCTAATTGGTGCTGGTACACGGGTGGTGATGGTATCTTTAGGACGGCGACCAACGATGTTGCGTTGGTTTTTTGACAACAGTACTGATGTTCATGTACGAGCTGTTAGCGGGATGGTCGCGTTGTATTGTTGTACGAAGGTCGTGCGCAATGAGTTTAGTAGATACGATGTTCGTCAGCTGAGTAACGTCTGCAGAGCTACAAGTCGGGCTTGCAGGTTGAGACGGGCTACGTGAGCAATGGGGAGTGTTGGACATCACCTCTGACGCAGTAAGTCTTATGCTCACGTCTGCTGAAGGATCCCAGTAGATAAAATGTTGAAGTAGTGTACCACTCTTATATAGTATATTTAGGATCGATGCGGCTGTAGGGCTTGACGGCAAGGAGAGAATTTACCACTTGTGGAATCTCCTTCTCCTTGCCAAAAATCATCGATTTTACTTGACGAGCCAAAGTTGGGTTCGTTTTTCTAGTCGAATAGCATAGAACAAAAGAAATGGGCACCATGATATTTACAGCAGCGGCAACTATGTTCTCTTACTCGACCTTCCGAGGAATCGTATACCGGATACAAATCGTTGAACTCAATGTCCTTCTGGGCACTAAAGTACTCGAGTGTCTCACACCAAAACATTCATTAGAGCGTCATACAACCCGTCCGTAGATATCATCGTCCTTGATTGTCTGTTTCTTCGTTGAAACAACCACGGTTGACGTTTGCTAATTCTGAAGTAGATAGAGTAGGAAGTTGAACACTCTATAGCGGGGCCTCAGCTCCGGGATCTCGTTTGAAGTGCTTGTAGCTGCGTTACCTGTAAAGGAGATGAATACTGCTATCTAGCTTACAATCTTGGTAAAGAAGATCTCACCACGACTTTGTGATGATGATGCGATGGTTTCAAAAGTCCCAAGAGATATCTGAGGTAGCTTATCGTTTTATGTACTTTTTTTATTGTTTGGTTACTTGCATTTTGGTCGGTTGATCTAGAGCGAATATGAACACTTCAAGGATCGCCTCGCGTTTCTTCACGCGTACCTCGGTAATATTCGAACGGTCGAGGATGTTCACATAAGCCGCCAACAAGGGTATACAGTACAACTACGTCTACGAAGAATCGGTTGCTGGGAAAGGAACGGACGAGGTCAACAGCATGCTGTATCACTTCATCCAGCGGATCATGCTGGCAAACGGCCATCGAAAGCTTACTATCTACGCTGACAATTGCGGTGGACAAAACAAGAATAACTGCGTTATTAAGATGCTGCTGGCTTTAGATCAAACTGGAGAACTTGATGTCGTTGAGCTCAAGTTTTTCGTGACGGGCCACACCAAGAACGCTGTTGACCGTGGCTTCAGGCTTATGAGGAAGAAGTTTGCTAATGAGGACATGTGGACGGCTGATCAGCTGCTCGAGGTTAATATCGACTCCTCGTCTAGCTCTGCCCTTGTCCATATTCCGAAAGTGAACACGGTGATATAGTTGTTCCGAACGCCCGTCACAGAGGCCTACAAGGATCTTAAGGGGGTGCAGCGCTACCAGATCTTCACATTGAGCGAGAAG